TTAATAATAATAGCAGTTACTATCTGCCAGGACCTGTTCTAAGTATTTCACCTGATTTAACTAATTTAATCCTCACATTAACTCAATAATAGTACAATCATTTCATTTTATAGAAGAGGAAACTAAGGAATAGAAAGAAACAGTAGACTGAATAATAGCACAGGGCTTGTGAGTCAGTGAAGCTGGATGGGAACCCTGGCAGTCTGGCTCTTGGATCCCTGCTTCCAACTTTTATAATGTAACTCCTCACAAGAGAACTGATTTTTAGATATTTTTCATTTTTAAATTGAGTTAATTTAAACAAAGACATTAATGATCCACCAAACTAGTTTAAAAATGCTCTGTATTCTAAACAGTTAAACCAATACTGAATATCAGTATTATATTTATGAAAATTGGGGTGGTGCCGTGACTTACAACTTGAAATTACAAAATGTCTCTCTTGTAGCTCACTGCCCCCCCCCCCCCCCCCCCCCCCCCCCCCCCCCCCCACACCGCGCCCAGTGCCCATTCCCCATGTCTTTGTTTGCTTTGGAATGTCAACTTAAAATTCTTAGCAAGGCTTCCCTGGTGGCGCAGTGGTTGGGAGTCCGACTGCCGATGCGGGGGACACGGGTTCGTGCCCCGGTCCGGGAGGATCCCACATGCCGCGGAGCGGCTGGGCCTGTGAGCCATGGCCTCTGAGCCTGCGCATCCGGAGCCTGTGCTCCGCAACGGGAGAGGCCACAACAGTGAGAGGCCTGCGTACCACAAAAAAAAAAAAAAAAAAATTCTTAGCAAATGAGTCAGTAAAGAAGCACAGGTATATGAGTGTGTGTTGACACACTGAAAAAATAAGTGTTTTAGCAACGATACTTTCACAAAAAAGTACGGCTTGAAAATCACACACACACACACACACACACACACACACATACACTTCAACACCTTTCCTTTTCATATGATGTAGTTATTACCTTGGGTGAGACAATCAATTTTACTTTTGCATGCAAAAGTAAAATTGCACTCTTTACTTCTGCACTCTTGTGTATAGGTAAATATGGGATTTATCAAATTGGTATATGAATGGAACTAACATTTTGGTGCATGATAACTAGAAATGAACTGCCAGACTCTACCTGAATAAGAAAATTAACATGCCAATTTTACATTTAATATTAGACAGCATTTAATTCATTGATGAGTTCTAGTAAACACTGACCATTCTTGATATCACTGAGAACTTTAAAAGTTGTAAGAGAAAGAAACAAATGGTTATAAAATTAAAGAACAAATGTTTGGAATCACATAAAAATCCCAAGGACAGATTTAGCTCAGATACTGTGTGACATATTTAGTGTCAAGATGTGCTCTGATAATGTTTTTGGGATTTTACATATTTTGATAATTAATACCTGCTAATATCTCTGTGCCAGAATATTTGGGTACATATATTGGTGAAATTAACATAGAGCTATCTTGACCAACCCTCATTAAGCGTTCTTTGAATTAAATTACTAGTTTATATTACCTCATTCCTGTTCTTATGTTTATTTCTTACACTTAAGTCATCTACATTATGGTTTAATTTTATATAAAGTTTCACGCAACATCTCTCTGCATAGTAAGCATTTGTTCAAGGCACAGAGCTGTAAGAGTTACAAAGTCCTCAAGAAACATATAGGATAGTAGGGGAGATTGATATGTGCAAAAAAAAAATGCATGAAGACAGTTCATTTGCTTCATGTTCTTCACTGGAAGCTTCCCTGGGCACCGGTCCCATACAGGTCTCTCTGGTTTGACTCACAGGCTAGTAGAAGACAGAGACAGAGATGTACACATTGTAATATACACTATAATACATGCTGTGTTGAGATGGTAAATTGTACCTGTGGGAGTTGAATAATGAGGAGGATTAAGATTGTCATTGTAAATAAGGAGGCAAAAGTATTCCAGACAGAGTTCACTGTATACAAAGGCAGAAAGAGGTTTGTTTCTGTAGAACTTGTGTGGATCTTGGGAAGCAGGGAGATGGGGGGCATCCTTGCTAAGTATGCCTGAATAAGATTCTGTCTATAAAAGCCTTTCATACTTAGAATATGTAGTAAACACATCAGTGTTTTGAAAAGATTTATCTTTAGGAGTGAGAAGGCACTGTTGAGAGTAAGAGATACAGAGAAGTTTTAAAGGCAGAAGATACTACATCATGATTGATTGGATGTGAGGAGAGATCAGTGGAAGATGTTACCTGGATACCTGGCTTAGGCATTAGAAAGACTTTGGGCTGAGATAAGGTATCAGAAGAATTGTTGCAAGTTTGGAGCTGAAAAATCATAATTTTAAATTACATGTAAAATTAGAAATGATGACAAGATAGCTAGATGGAGATGTTAGAAGACTTAACTAATTGTTTTTTTGTTTTTTGTTTTTTGTTTTTATCATGAATGTCTTACCTTAGACTGGGAGATCAGCAAGAGCCCCTTGCCTTATCTTTTTATACACACTTTTTTTTCATATATCTCTTAGCGTATTATAAATGCCTAAAAATATTGTAAGATAAATGGATCAGGATAGAATGAGTAAATATATAAACAAATAGTTGGAACATAAGAAAGAATTATATGAAATGGGCAAAAGCTGAAGAAATACATAAGGAATTTAGCAGAAATATGTTTCAGCATAGGAATCTAATACTCATCCCTAAAAGCCCTGTCCTTTGGAAGATGCAATGTTTCATTGAGAAAACTTTTACTAGGTCCAACATATGCACAACTTAAAATGGAAATTTTCATTAGTAAATTTAAATGTTTTCAATGGCTGTCTTCATCTTTTAACTTTATGTATTGTTAAAGTAATTTTAGAGAATATATCCTCATTGAAAACATATTTCATCTGATAATGTATCAGGATAAATACAAATTGTCAAATTTTATCCCACAATCCATTTCAAAATTATTTCTTTCCCTAGAGTGTTTACTTCAATATTTTCTTTAGCTAAATGTAATCACATCCACATTAAGTAAATTTATTCATATTTAATAATTATTTATTCTCACAGCACTTTCAGGGAGATGTCAGAATAAGTACTTGGTTAAGAAACATAATTTTTGTTGAGAGTATGATTAATGAAACAGCCATTGATAAAAGCCACTTAAATTATCATTAATTAATTAATATTAACCATTAATGCTTAATATTTGTTAGTTGAATATGTATCTAGATCTTACAGAATATAATAAAAATATGTTTTCATTAAAAAATGTCCCTATCCACCTATTTATTAAGCCTCTTTTAAATTCTAGAGGTTGTACAGGTACAGGGAGTATGTAGATCCCCTGTCCTTGAGTGTTTTACACTCTAGTGAAATATATCTCAAATTTAGTGATTTAGAGCAGGAGTCCCCAACTCCACAGGCCACGGACTGTTAGGAACAGAGCTGCACAGCAGGAGGTGAGCGGTGGCTATCGAGTGAAGCTTCATCTGCCGCTCCCCATTTCTCCTTATCATTTGCATTACCAACTGAACCATACCCCCCGCCGTGGAAAAATTGTCTTCCGTGAAACTGGTCCCTGGTGCCACAAAACGTCGGGGACCGCTAATTCAGAGTGGACTGGGAGTTTTAGTTAAAAGTAAAAAGTCTCAATTCTCGGCTCCAGAGACTTCAGTTCCATAGGTCTGTATAACTTTCTAGGCATTAGCATTTACAAGACATCTCATTTGGTTTGGAGACTTTAATAAAGGGAAAGAGTGATTTCCTGAAGTAATTCTACAATGCATCATAAACTAGGATGGAGTTTGTTAAGTCTGTTAACTGCAATGTCTACATTTTTACTGGTAGGAGAATAAAAAAGGAGAAACGTATAATGCTTATCAGAAAAGTGTTTTCTTTCTTAAAAAGTAAGTCATGCTTTCATTTCTGCATGATGTTATTCTTATGTTTATAAAAGCTAGTTAGCTGATTGATCCATGTAACGTAAACTATTTCAGTCATTTTCACGAAATGGACATCTTTAGACAGTCATCTCTGCAGTCAATTATTTTCCATTTAAAGAGTATAGAAATTATTTGATGAAATATAACAAAAATTAATTATTTTGCTCATTTCCACTTTCTGAAGCCTGTAACGCCATGAAGATTCTGCTTCAGTTCTGTAATTGTTAAATTAAATGAGCTAATGGATGATAAAGCCATTTTGAGTCACTAAAGAAAAACTAATAAAAATCATGTCAATCTTTCTCCTTAGACAAGAAGCAAGACTACATAGAAAACATGACAATGGTCAAATGAGACTCTCCAGAAAAAAATTTAGACAACTGTATCTATATAAGTATTAAAAATCAATAAATCAAAACCAGCATTTTATTTTCCCAGTGTTAATATTTAAATTTTACTGGTGTCATACTAAACATTATATTCAGAAAAAAATTTCTTAAGCAGTGAATTCAGTTACTATTAAAGGTTCAAAGAGAATGGCTGTTATTTGAAAATTGGGGTAATGCTTAAAGTGTAAAGAAGAAAAAAGCGGAGAAGGGCAAATGTTATTCTAAACAATTTCCTTCTATTTAAGCTAGAAGAGAGTAGCATATATCTTCTTGATTCCTGGAGTTTAGGTCATGTAATAGATTTTAAAAATTGTTGAATGTTAAAGCTGAAAGAGACCTTAGTGAAAATTTATTTTAAAAAGTCTCATTTTCTGAATGAGACTTTCTCTAGGTCATATATCTGTTAACAGCAGATTCTAGTTAGAAGCATCAGAATACCTTTGTTTACAGTTAGCTCAAAATGAATTAGAGAGAAAAATTATCTAAAGGACATGAGTTATAAACTAGTGATTCTTGATCATTCCAGAAAAAAAAAGATGCTTTCTACAATACTTAGATTCAAATTGCAAGAAAACTGACAAAATTCTCCTTTATGTTTTCCCGTTTTTATTACCACTGCCATAACTTCTCAATGGATTTCTCTTTGAAATTAATGATTAGCGTTATTGGTAAATAACTGAAAAATATTGCTTTTTGCAGCTGGATGAAGAAGCCTCGATGTGGTGTACCTGACCAGACAAGAGGTAGCTCCAAATTTAATATTCGTCGAAAGCGGTATGCGTTAACAGGACAGAAGTGGCAGCACAAGCACATCACTTACAGGTAAAATAGCTAATGATGAATTACTGTTTCTTTTCAATTTTTCACAACTATGTATTTCGACATTTTGTTTGAGATCTTATGCACACTGACTACATGGTAACATATAGTGATGTAATGGTAACATAAAAAAAATTGCAATTGAGAAAAGAATAAATTGTCCATTTGGGGACCCTGTAGACAGACATTCCTTGAAACACTTTTGTAAACTAGATCTTCCAGCTTCTTGAATGAATGCTAATATTCTGAAAGACTTTCAGATGAGTATTCTAACACACAACATTCTTTATCAAGTATTCATAATCTAAAAATTTATAAAATAATAAAGTATATAAATAATTGCAATTTAAACAATATATCTTTGAATTATTAATTAACTTTTGGTATCAGAGCAACCACTTAACTTTTTATCTTTTTACAACAATGCAAATGGATCATCCTTTCTTGTCTTCAATGAAGCATGCTTAAGGGATGAGAGTATCTTCCAATCTGGAGTGGCAATTGCTGCTAGTTCATATTCATTCATTAACTAATTGAACGACGTTTTATTGAGTACCAGTTTGGACAAAGAACAGTGCTAGTTACTGGGGATATAACAATAAATAAAACATAGGGATTCCATCCATCCTCATGGAATTTACAGTCACGTGGAGAAGTTTAACAATCATATAAATGTGATGATGCCTGTTTTGAAAGAGAAGGAAAAGGATGCAAGAGAAATGTAAACCATGGTCATTCAACCCAACTTAGAAAACCAGGGCTGGCCTCCCTTCTGTCTTGAGAGTAATATGGAGTATTAAAGGAAATTCTTTATATGATCACCTTAACAGATACAAAAATGCGTTCAAGAAAATTTAACCTCCATTTATAACTAGGAGTCAAAGCAAAGAAAGGTAATTAATCAGAAAAATGGCATCTACAAAAACAAAAATTACAGCTTCATTATGTATTTCACATACAATATGACCACTGTAACATGAGGTGTTTGGAAAAAAAATCGTTAAGTGAAACAACAAAAAATACCTGCTATCTCTACCTCTATCCAATAACATTGTGCAACTACTTATAGTTGTAAGGTAATAAAAGAGAGCAAAAGATATAAGGATCTGTAAAGAAATAAAACTATCTTTAGTCACAGTTGTATCACTTTCTAATAGAACACCCAGAATAAACTCTAGATAATTTTTTTAGAAATAATAAAAGAATATATCCAGCTTTAAAAATAATTAGTAGATTTTATTTTTAGAGCAATTCTAGGTTTACAGAAAAGTTGAGCAGATAGTATGGGTAGTTCTCACTGCCCCCCCTCCTCCCAGTATACACACTCACATAGTTTCTCCCATTATTAAGATCTTAATTAGTATTAGATATTTGTTACAATTGTTGAGCCAGTATTGCTCTATTACTGACTAAAATCGATAGTTTACACCACAGTTCACTCTTTGTGTTGTAGTTTTATGGATTTTGACAAATGCATAATATCATATAATATTACAGTATCATACAGAATTAGTTTCACTGTTCTGTAAATCCTTTGTTACACCTATTCATCCCGCTTCTCCTTAGGACACTACTGATGGTTTTAATGTCTCTATAGTTTTGCCTTTTCTAGAATGTCATATGGTTCGAAACACAGTTTGTAGCCATTTCAGACTGCTTTCCTTCACTTAAAAATATGCATTTATTTCCTCCTTGTCTTTTCATGACTTGATAGCTCATTTCTTTTTATTACTGAGTAATATTCCATTGTATGGATGTGTCACAGTTTGCTTACCTGTTCACCTATTGAAGACTTCTTGGTTGCTTCCAGTTTTGGGTAATTATGAGTAAAGCTAGTATAAACATGTGTGGGCTGGTTTTTGTGTGGACATTAATTTTCAACTTATTTGGCTAAATACCTGGGAATATAATTTTGCTGATCATAAGGTAAGACTATGGTTAGCTTTTTAAGAAACTACCAAACTATCTTCAAAGTGGCTAAACCATTTTGCATTACCACCAACAATGAATGAAAGTTACTGTTCCTCTACAACTTTGTCAGGATTTGGTGTTGTCAGTGTTCTGGATGTAACCGTTCTAATAGGTGGTTTCTCAATTTTTTAACTTGCAATTCCCTAATGCCATGTGAAGCTGAGCATATTTTTGTATGCTTATTTGCCATCTGTACATCTTCTTTTGTGAGATGACTGTTTAGATCTTTGCACCAACTTTTAATTGAGTTGTTATTTTAAAGGTTCTTTGTATATTTTGGATTACAAGTCTTTTATCAGATATGTTTTCAAATATGTTGTCTCAGTCTGTGGTTTGACATTCCATTCTCTTTTTTTAGTGTATTTTGCAGAGCAGAAGTCTTAATTTTAATAAGGTAGAACTTATCAATTATTTTCATTTCTATATTGTGCTTTTGTTGTTATATCAAAAAATCATTGCCAAACAGAAGGTCACTTAGAATTTCTCCTATGTTATCTTCTAAAATTTTAATAGTTTGGCATTTACATTTAGGTCAATGATCCATTTTGAGTTTGTTTTTGGGAAAGGTGTAAAATCTATATTCATTTTTTTACATGTGGATGTTCAGTTGTTCCAGCACCACTGGTTGGAAAGACCATTCTTTCTCCACTACCTTTGATCTTTTGTCAAAGATCAGTTGCCTATGTGCGTGGGTAAATTTCGGTGCTCTTTATTCTGCTTCATTGATCTATGTGTCTATTCATAAACCAATATCACACTTTCTTGATTACTGTGGTTTAGAGTAAGTCTTGATATCAGATAGTGTCAGTTTTCTGATTTTATTCTTCTTCTTCAGTATTATGTTGTGTTTTCAGAGTCTCTTGCCTTCCCACATAAACTTTAGAATCAGTTTGCCATTACAGGCGTTCCTCAGAGATATTCTGTGTTCAGTTCTAGATCAACAAAATAAAGAGAATATAGCAATCAAGCTCATATAACAATCAAGCGATGTCTTGAAATTTTTGGTTTCCCAGTGCATATAAAATTTGCTTACGCTATACTACAGTTTATTAAGTGTTCAGTAGCATTATGCCCAAAAGCGCAATGAGCATGCCTTAGTTAAAAACACTTTATTGATAAAACATGCTAACCTTCAGCTGTTGATGGCTACTGACTGCTCAGGGTGGTGGTTGGTGAAAGTCAAGGTGGCTGAGGCAAGTTCTTAAAAGAAGACAACAATGAAGTTTGTCACATTGATTTACTCTTCCTTGTATGAATAATTTCTCTCTAACATGCAGCGCTGTTTGTAGCATTTACCCACAGTAGCACCTTCAAAATTGGAGTCAAGTCTCTCAAACCCTGCCACTGTTTTAACAACCAAGTTTATGTCATATTCTGAATGCTATTTTTTTTGTTATGTCAACAATCTTCATAGCATCTTCACCAAGAGTAGATTCCATTTCAAGAAACCACTTTGCTCATCAGTAAGAACCAACTTCTCATCATTTAAAGTTTTATCACGGGATTGCAGCAATTTAATCACATCTTTAGGCTCATGTTTCATTTTAATTCTCTTGTTATTTCCACCACATCTGCAGTTACTTCCTCCACTGAAGTCTTGAACCACTCAAAGTCATCTTTGAGGACTGGAATCAGTTTCTTCCAAACTCCTGTGAATATTGATATTTTACCTCTTTCCATGAATCACAAATGTTCTTAATGGCATAAAGAATGGTGAATCCTTTCCAAAAGATTTTCAGTTTACTTTACCCAAATCCTTCAGAGGAATCACTATCTATGGCAGCTATAGCCCTACAAAATGTATTTCTTAAATAATAATACTTGAAAGTTGAAATCACTCCTTGTTCCAAGGGCTGCAGAATGGATGTTGTGTTAGTGGGCATGGAAACAACATGAATCTTGTATATCTCCATCACAGGTCTTGGGTGACCAGGTGAATTGTTAATAAGCAGTAATATTTTGAAAGAAATCTTTTTTCTGAGCACTAGGTCTCAACAGTGGGCTTACAGTATTCAGTAAACCATGTTGTAAACAGATGTATTGTCATCCAGGCTTTGCTGTTTTACCTATAGAGCACAGGCAGAGTAGTTTTAGCATAATTTTAAGGGGCCAAGGATTTTTGAAATAGCAAATGAACATTGGTGTCAACTTAAAGTCACCAGCTGTATTATCCACTAACAAGAGAATCAGCTTATCCTTTCAAGCTTTGAAGTCAGGCATTAAGTTCTCTTCTCTAGCTATGAATGTCCTAGATAGCATCTTCTAATATAATAAAGCTGTTTCATCTACTTTGAAAATTTAATGTTTAACATAGCAATCTTTATTAATTATCTTGGCTAGATCTGGATAACTTGCTGAAGCTTCTGTATCAGCACTTGTTGCTTCACTTTGTGCTTTTATGTTATGGATATAGCTTCTTTCCTTCTTTCCTTAAACCTCATATACCAACCTCTGTTAGCTTCAAACTTTTCTTCAGCTAGATCTGGATAACTTGCTGAAGCTTCTGTATCAGCACTTGTTGCTTCACTTCGTGCTTTTATGTTATGGATATAGCTTCTTTCCTTAAGCCTCATATACCAACCTCTGTTAGATTCAAACTTTTCTTCTTCAGCTTCCTCACCTGTCTCAGCCTTCACAGAATTAAAGAGAGTTAGGGCCTTTCTCTGAATTAGGCTTTGGTTTAAAGGAATATTGTGACTGGTTTGATCTATGTAGACCATTAAAACTTTCTCCATATAAGCAATAAAGCTGTTTTGCTTTCTTATTATTTGTGTGTTCACTGGAGTAGCACTTTTAATTTCCCTCAAGAACTTTTCATTTACTTTCATAGCTTAGCTAACCATTTGGGGCAGAGGTCTAGCTTTTGTCCTATCTCAGCTTTTGACATGCCTTCTAAACCTAATCATTTATTACTTTTACTTAAAGTGAGAGATGTGTGATTTTCCCCTCACTTGAATACTTAGAGGCAGTTGTTAGGTAATTAATTGGTCTAATTTCAATATTGTTGGGCCTCAGGAAATAGGGAGGCCCAG